TTTTTTTTTTTTTTTTTTTTTTTTTTTTTTTTTTTTTTTTTTTTTTTTTTTTTTTTTTTTTTTTTTTTTTTTTTTTTTTTTTTTTTTTTTTTTTTTTTTTTTTTTTTTTTTTTTTTTGTTTTTTTTTTTTTTTTTTTTTTTTTTTTTTTTTTTTTTTTTTTTTTTTTTTTTTTTTTTTTTTTTTTTTTTTTTTTTTTTTTTTTTTTTTTTTTTTTTTTTTTTTTTTTTTTTTTTTTTTTTTTTTTTTTTTTTTTTTTTTTTTTTTTTTTTTTTTTTTTTTTTTTTTTTTTTTTTTTTTTTTTTTTTTTTTTTTTTTTTTTTTTTTTTTTTTTTTTTTTTTTTTTTTTTTTTTTTTTTTTTTTTTTTTTTTTTTTTTTTTTTTTTTTTTTTTTTTTTTTTTTTTTTTTTTTTTTTTTTTTTTTTTTTTTTTTTTTTTTTTTTTTTTTTTTTTTTTTTTTTTTTTTTTTTTTTTTTTTTTTTTTTTTTTTTTTTTTTTTTTTTTTTTTTTTTTTTTTTTTTTTTTTTTTTTTTTTTTTTTTTTTTTTTTTTTTTTTTTTTTTTTTTTTTTTTTGTTTTTTTTTTTTTTTTTTTTTTTTTTTTTTTTTTTTTTTTTTTTTTTTTTTTTTTTTTTTTTTTTTTTTTTTTTTTTTTTTTTTTTTTTTTTTTTTTTTTTTTTTTTTTTTTTTTTTTTTTTTTTTTTTTTTTTTTTTTTTTTTTTTTTTTTTTTTTTTTTTTTTTTTTTTTTTTTTTTTTTTTTTTTTTTTTTTTTTTTTTTTTTTTTTTTTTTTTTTTTTTTTTTTTTTTTTTTTTTTTTTTTTTTTTTTTTTTTTGTTTTTTTTTTTTTTTTTTTTTTTTTTTTTTTTTTTTTTTTTTTTTTTTTTTTTTTTTTTTTTTTTTTTTTTTTTTTTTTTTTTTTTTTTTTTTTTTTTTTTTTGTTTTTTTTTTTTTTTTTTTTTTTTTTTTTTTTTTTTTTTTTTTTTTTTTTTTTTTTTTTTTTTTTTTTTTTTTGTTTTTTTTTTTTTTTTTTTTTTTTTTTTTTTTTTTTTTTTTTTTTTTTTTTTTTTTTTTTTTTTTTTTTTTTTTTTTTTTTTTTTTTTTTTTTTTTTTTTTGTTTTTTTTTTTTTTTTTTTTTTTTTTTTTTTTTTTTTTTGTTTTTTTTTTTTTTTTTTTTTTTTTTTTTTTTTTTTTTTTTTTTTTTTTTTTTTTTTTTTTTTTTTTTTTTTTTTTTTTTTTTTTTTTTTTTTTTTTTTTTTTTTTTTTTTTTTTTTTTTTTTTTTTTTTTTTTTTTTTTTTTTTTTTTTTTTTTTTTTTTTTTTTTTTTTTTTTTTTTTTTTTTTTTTTTTTTTTTTTTTTTTTTTTTTTTTTTTTTTTTTTTTTTTTTTTTTTTTTTTTTTTTTTTTTTTTTTTTTTTTTTTTTTTTTTTTTTTTTTTTTTTTTTTTTTTTTTTTTTTTTTTTTTTTTTTTTTTTTTTTTTTTTTTTTTTTTTTTTTTTTTTTTTTTTTTTTTTTTTTTTTTTTTTTTTTTTTTTTTTTTTTTTTTTTTTTTTTTTTTTTTTTTTTTTTTTTTTTTTTTTTTTTTTTTTTTTTTTTTTTTTTTTTTTTTTTTTTTTTTTTTTTTTTTTTTTTTTTTTTTTTTTTTTTTTTTTTTTTTTTTTTTTTTTTTTTTTTTTTTTTTTTTTTTTTTTTTTTTTTTTTTTTTTTTTTTTTTTTTTTTTTTTTTTTTTTTTTTTTTTTTTTTTTTTTTTTTTTTTTTTTTTTTTTTTTTTTTTTTTTTTTTTTTTTTTTTTTTTTTTTTTTTTTTTTTTTTTTTTTTTTTTTTTTTTTTTTTTTTTTTTTTTTTTTTTTTTTTTTTTTTTTTTTTTTTTTTTTTTTTTTTTTTTTTTTTTTTTTTTTTTTTTTTTTTTTTTTTTTTTTTTTTTTTTTTTTTTTTTTTTTTTTTTTTTTTTTTTTTTTTTTTTTTTTTTTTTTTTTTTTTTTTTTTTTTTTTTTTTTTTTTTTTTTTTTTTTTTTTTTTTTTTTTTTTTTTTTTTTTTTTTTTTTTTTTTTTTTTTTTTTTTTTTTTTTTTTTTTTTTTTTTTTTTTTTTTTTTTTTTTTTTTTTTTTTTTTTTTTTTTTTTTTTTTTTTTTTTTTTTGTTTTTTTTTTTTTTTTTTTTTTTTTTTTTTTTTTTTTTTTTTTTTTTTTTTTTTTTTTTTTTTTTTTTTTTTTTTTTTTTTTTTTTTTTTTTTTTTTTTTTTTTTTTTTTTTTTTTTTTTTTTTTTTTTTTTTTTGTTTTTTTTTTTTTTTTTTTTTTTTTGTTTTTTTTTTTTTTTTTTTTTTTTTTTTTTTTTTTTTTTTTTTTTTTTTTTTTTTTTTTTTTTTTTTTTTTTTTTTTTTTTTTTTTTTTTTTTTTTTTTTTTTTTTTTTTTTTTTTTTTTTTTTTTTTTTTTTTTTTTTTTTTTTTTTTTTTTTTTTTTTTTTTTTTTTTTTTTTTTTTTTTTTTTTTTTTTTTTTTTTTTTTTT